TTTTTTTGTTTGTTTTCTTTTTTTACTGCTCGCGAAAAATACAAAAAAAAAAAAATGAAATCAAATTTAATACGATCGCATCGAAAACCAAAATGACAACAACAACAACAACAACTACAACAACCAACAACAACAACCCCCCCTCAACCATATCCCAAAATCAAATACAAAAATCGAATATCGTATGCCGAATATCGTATACCGAATATCGTCAACCTGATGATGCAGCGAGTGGAGCACTGCAAATGTCCGACAGCAACGTTCTCAGCTCTCAGCTGAGTAGCGGGGCGGGGGGCGGCGGCGGCGGCAACATAGCGGGCAGTCCACTGCTGCACATGGCGTCGGACTCGGGCTACTTTATATCCAGTCGGATAGCATACAATACCAGTAAAAGACAACAAAAATAACAAAATTTTATAACTGAGCCAAAAACTTATATGCTTTTCTCTTCTTCTCTCTCTCTCTCTCTCTCGCTCTCTCTCTCTCTCGCCCGCTCGCAGATAACAGTGGCATTCCGGAGGATCAGACACGCAAGCGAGAGATTCGACTGCAAAAGAATCGAGAGGCGGCGCGCGAATGCCGGCGCAAGAAGAAGGAGTATATTAAGTGCCTGGAGAATCGTGTGGCGGTGCTAGAGAACCAAAACAAAGCGCTCATCGAGGAGCTCAAGTCGCTGAAAGAGCTTTATTGTCAGACCAAGAACGATTGAACGTGGAGCCGATGCTGGCACAGGCAGCAGCAGCAGCAGCAGCGGCAGCAGCAATTGTTGCTGACAGCAGCGGCAACAACGGCAGCAACAACAGCAGTAGCTTTATGTCTACACTGGGCTGGCAACAACATCGACAACACCGTGGAGTATGCTAGCTGGCAGCAGGATGCGAACTGGGGCAAGGACACTAACTGGAGCAGGGACGAGGACGACTGCAATTGGCCGCATATCATGATTAGCATACGCTTATGTAGTATAAATGTCGTTGTTGTTGTTGTTGTTGCTGTTGCTGTTGTTGTTGCCACCCACACACACACATACACAGACACATACACACAAACACACACACACAGACACACACACACACATCGAGTGCTGGTCATGTGCGCTGCGCGCACTTGTTGACCAAATGTTGTGCATCAACATTTAGCGACACAACAAGCGGCAAACAGCGAACAAACACTCAACACACACACACACACAAACACAATGTAATTATGTTTATAATTTAAATGTGTAATATTATTTTAAAGCTTATGTTTATGCTTTAGTTATATTTTCTTATTAAATTATACTACACAGTAATCTATACTGTTATTATTTGTATTTTACAATTCTCTTCCCTTTTTTTTTTTTTTTTTTTTTGTTTTTGTTTGATATATGTATATAAACATATATATATATATATATACCGTATACACTACTTTGTTATATCTTAAGGAGAATTCTTGAATTTAGTGCATTGTGCGAGAAGAGAGTCAAATATAGAGGAAAGCCCCCATAAGTTAAATGTGTTTAGCTAAATTTTTATGAAACAGCAACTAGCGAAATTCTTACACCAAACACACCTCCCTCCCCCCCCTCCGCAAATTGTAACACAGCAAAAAAAAAAAGAAGAAAAAACACATTGCATAATTAAAATTAAGTTGAAAAATTTGTAATTTGTAAAAAAAAAAATTCAAGCAGCATATATATGTTATTTATGTATTTATGCACAGTTTTTTTTTTTAGTTTTGTTACATAATTTTAAATATAGCCGTTTCCTTCAAATTAATAGTAAAACACAAAAAAACGAAACCCCCCTCCCCCCATGGGCGTCCCTATCGCCACGCCCTCTTAGCATAGGCTACGCAAATGTTTCTTTCTCTGTGCGCACGCGACAAAAACAATTTGATGTATAAATCCTTATATATATATATATAGCTATAAATATATATATAATTTATATATTTATACAGATAAAGAAAACTATGTAGTTAGCGAATATTTGTACACTATTTGTATTTTAACTGATTTTATGTTAAAAGAAAGGAAAGAAAAGAAAATGAAATTAAGTGGAAATATGAAATAATTAATTGTTCTATATACCTAAAAAAAAAAAACAAATTATTATTATTAATATTATTATTTTTTATTTTTTTTTTTTTTTGCATGAGCAAAGGCAGCAAAATAAACAGAGAGAAAACAATCACAAAAACAGTAAACAGAAAAATCAACGAAAGCTTCAACATATTTTGTAAATGTAAAAATTAAAAAAAAAAAAATGAAACCGAAGCAACTATGAAAATGTAAAGAAAACAAAACACAAAAAAAAAAACAAACATACATATAAATTAAAAACTCTCGTTATCTCTTGTGATCAACTCAGTTGTTGTTATGAATGATAAAAAAAAAAAAAAACAAAAACAAAATGGTAACAAAAATGCAAACAATGAAAATATTCATAAAGTTTCAGAAATTGCGGGCAGTGTACGACTCATCGTGCAATTTTTTTTTATATATTTAATGTATCCAGGAACAATAGGCCAAGATGCATAAGAAGAAGAGGAAGAATGAGATCGGAAACAATGTCAAACACAGTAAACAAACTAAAAACTAAAGAAAAAAAAATATATATAAATACTTTATATAGTATAGATATGTATCTATATATATATGTATATACAAAATGTATACACAAGTCGATAATATATATATATACACACACACACATAAATTATATATATATATATGTATACATATATATCTATCTATTTTTGATGTCAAAATCAAATGAGCAACAAAACTTTCTGAATACGAAACAGAACAAAAACAAAAACAATTATTAAAAAAAAAAAAAAACAAATAAACTGAAAAAGATAAAACAACAACAAAAAGCAAAGAGGAAGAGAAAACGGCGCAACTTTTAGAGCAGTTCATAAGGGGGCAATCGGATCTAGCGACCCGAATCGAAGTTGCATAACAAATATTTTTATTGTCATTGCATAATTTTTAAGGTAGTAATTTTAATATTTATAACATAAGCGACAAAACAAAAACTGACAACCGAAAACAAATGCAAACAAATAGTGGAAGGAAACGCAGAACAAGATGAAAACAAAAACAAAAACAAACAACAAAAAAACAACAACAACAAAGTAGAAGTTACAATATTGTTATAAATATTTGTCTCAATGAGAAAAACAAAAACGAAAACAAAACAAAAAACATAAAAACAAAGAAGAAAGCAAACACAAAAAAAAAAAAAAAAGAAAATCAACATAAAAAAATAAAATTTTACTTGAGTTTCTTTTCACTCTTGTCATAAAATTTTTCTCAAGTTATCCGGCTTTATCCGTTCAAGGATCTGCTTAAGTAATTTTTAGTATTTTGCATCAGTCAAGTACCTAGAAATATGCTAAACAAAGGTACAAAGGTACACTAGGTACTTGGTTCATTTTGAATAATATGAAAAGGAGTTATCGATAACAAGGTGCAAGGGTAAATTATTAATGTACCCATTTTAGCACGTTTTTTAGTACAAGTTACGGTAGTTTATGTTAGAGCTCACACAATAGAAAATTAGGGTTACCTGGTACAGTCGAGTCTCGATAATTCGAAATGGCAAGGGCTTTCCATTTTGTGTGGTTTATGAAATTATCGAGAATTATCGAAAACGAATTTTGCTTAAAGTGGATTTCCGATTTATCGAGATTATCCTGAGTTGTAAACGGAAGATTTTTGTACCCGGAAGTGCACCAAAATATGTAGATCAAGAAAACATTACGACAAATATACATACTCTATATAATCGGTACTAAAATAGAAGCTGTAGTCTTGTGCTTGTGTATGTAAATTTCTATATATGTGTATATCGAAATTAGAGCGAACAATAGGGGATGTCAGTGTCTGGATATATTGTTCCAAAAAGGGCACGAAGATAATTCTTAGACTATATAGAAGCTCAAAATCTAAACCGTTTATTTTTATTTTTATTTTAATTTAAAATTTATTTGATATTGATTCGCCATTGCATTCATATTATTGTTCATTTTTCGTCGAAATTAAAGTTGTAAAATTTTTAAGCAGTAAATGGACTCGCCCATAAAAAATCTCTAGATTGATAGCACAGCAGATATGCCACATCCATAAATGGTGAAGGAAATGTGTAGCAAGAGTTGATTTTCTTTTTCTTTTACGAGATAAATAGTGAAGGAAGGATGTGTCATTAATTTATATTTATATTTAGAAGAATTTATATTTATTTCTTTTATTATTTAAACACATTCAGCTAAAGTTTGTTTTTATTCTTCTAGGTACATTTTCAGCAACAGAGATGATACTAGTCTTCGCAGATATGACTTGGCATAGGTAAGAGAAAAATACCAAGAATCTATTATATACTAAGAATCTTTTATGTGTATTTACTAGTTGAACGCATCAAACAAAAGTTTGTTTATATTTTTTTTTAAAGGAATATTTATTTGGAGCACATATGAGCCAAAGCGGAAGGCTTTGAAGGAAATGTGTTCCAGATCTTTAAAAAAAAGTACTGAAAAGTACAGTGTGCAATAGGTAAATTTCTAGCATGAAAAGACACGATTTACCAACAATTTGAAGGGTATTTCAATATTTTAACCAAGTGTCTAGCTAGATATGCCGCAATGTACCAAGTGCTGTAAAGGTATGCAACTATTGTACCTAAGTTAAGTTAAGGTACACTGAAGTTCATAGTGTACCATGTGAAAAAACGTTTCCATTTGCATATGTATGTATATATGTATATTATATTAAAACCTTGTAGTTTACATTCATTAGAGTACAGGTGGACAGACACACAGACGTTACACATATATGTATATACATATATATCTATATATAATGGGTGTATAATATATATGATAAAAATACAAATAGCTTTTAAAGAGATTCACAGTTGTCAAAAATCAGTTCGATTATTCGGACATCGAGAGCTGCCTGGGAGCTGGCTCCAATGATGTACATATGTATGTGTGTGTGTATATAAATGGGTATATAATGCATGTGTGTGTGTGTGTGTGTGTGTGTGTAAGTATATCGTATATGCTGTGGCAGTAATCACATGAAGCCGCTGCAGTTGCCCAATTGGAAATGAATAGAGCATCGGGAGCGAGGAGCCGTCTCTCTGTGGGCTCCAGCGTGAGTGGAGCACCGCAGGCCTTAGGACAGGAACATGTAGAGCACGAACATGCCGATGCCGACGTAGTGACTGAGGTAACCGGCCGCCGACCAGTGGTACATGAAGGGCAGCTCGTGCTCAGAGTCGCCGAGCAGCGTTTCGTTGAGCAGGACGACGCCCAGGTAGGCCAGATGGGCAATGGCGAGCAGGCTGAAGCCCAGATTGGTGAGCCTCACCAGCCAGGAGCTGCAGCTGCGCCAGCCCCGGCGCCGCGGGCAATGGGCGTAGCGACAGCGCTCAGCGCCCGGGCAGGGATTGGCCGTGACACAGGCACCGAAGAGCGTGGCCAGATGGCGGCGCAGCATCGTCTCGCCCTCGGCGAAAGTGGCCAGCGAGAGCAGCACCAGGTAGATGCGGAAGTCCATGCCGTGCAGCAGCGACGACACGATATACGTGCAGAACACGGCCACCATAGTGCTGTTGCGCGAGTGGGCCTGGGTCGGGGTCTGGGTCTGGGTTTGGGAGTGGCCCTCAGTCTGGACCCGCTCCTGCTTGGACGTGGCGTAGACGTAGCGCTTGAGCCACTCGTGCATGGGTATGTTCCAGCAGCGGACCAGGGCGCTCAGCGAATGCGGCCACTCGATGCGCCACGGACGCACGACGAGATCGCCGAGCAGCCCCTGGGTCCCGGCGCCCACATCCAATCGCTGCCCGACGGCGGCCAGCTGCGCCTGGCTGAGCAGGCTGACAAAGTAGTGGCTGGTGCGCACGCTCAGGGCGCCGGTGTACATGAGCAGCCAGTGGCTCCAGCCACCCTGGTAGGCCTCCAGCGGCTCGGCCGGAGCGTTCAGCTCGCTCAGCGTGGGCGCAATGCAGTTGCTGACGAGCAGCGCCACCAGGCTGAGGAGCACATTGAGCAGCATCTGGCAGAGATTGCGGCGCAGCTGGGATTTGTTGTGCAGCGCCTCCAAGTAGCGGGCATAGCTCAGCCAGGGGCCCAGCGCACAGGTGGCCGGATGTAGGATGTAGCCGAAGTAGGCGACAATGCTGGGCATGTGGAGGCCGGCAGCGCCCGTAGCTGTTAGGTCAAAGGCCAGCGAGATCACCTTCATGTTGGTCACCATCTGGAGGCCGCGCAGCTGGGGCCAGTCGTCGGGCTTCTGCCAGATGGCCAGCTCGTAGATGAACTGGCTGCCGATGCTGAGCACGGCTAGGGCCACGGCGGGGCGTCGTCCCTTGCCCAGGCGCACCAGCTGGAGCAGCGCATAGCTAATGCCGGTGAGCAGCTGCAGGATTAGCATGCGCTGGCCCAGCGTCGCATAGAGGATGCCGGCGCCGCAGAGCGCATTGATGAGATGCAGCGGCGCCAGCTTCATGCTGTTCGCCTCCTGCCAGCTGCAGCTGGCGCTGGCCACAAGCCGTGCCCGTCGCGCATAGACGGCGCTCAGCAGCCGGCACAGCAGGCAGCCCAGCAGCAGCGGCACTATGTAGCCCGCCACCTGGGTGAGCGAGGGCAGGATGCAGTGCTCATAGCTGTCCAGCAGGCGATCCATGGCGCTGCCGTAGTTGTCATCGCTGTACTCATGGCTCCCCAGCTGCTCGTGATCGATGTAGGCATTCGCATGGCCACCGCCGCCGGCCCCGAGGCCGTCCTCCTCGTCTGCGTAGTCCGCCTCGTCGTCGTAGTACTGATAATCCATATTGCACGGTCACGCTTCGCGACAGTTGTTGGGCCACGTACCTTAGAAATTGCGGCTGCTTGCAACGGCAACTGCGTGGCAGCCGTTTAGGTGGGTGTGTGGGCGCTGTTGTTCTCTGTCTGCTCAAGTTAACTTTTCAAAATCGGCTTCATTTCTCTCAGCATCGAATAAACGAACCGATGCACCGATATTGTTCATTGCGAACCACTCGTTCCAGCTGCTTTGCCCAGTGCCAACGATAGTTGCACTGGTTCCGATTCCACTTCGCGCGCTGTGTTCTCTTTGTCTTGTTCTTTTCGTTATTCGCCGGCAGCGCTGCCAGACTGTTTTGCATTTCAATTCCCATAGGGAAATCCAATTTGATTAAGATTTGAATTGGAAATAATTGTTTATTCGATTTTTTAATGTAATGCGGCTCTTCTTGATATTTTATAAAACACATTTTTGTTAAGATTTTACAACAATATTATAAATATATCTGGTCATTAATATATTTATGATACTTTGTATATTTATCTAAAGTGCGTGCTGAATTCTTATAAGATTTACATAAAACTGATAAGAAAATAAAATTACTTTTTGTTAGTTTATGTAAACGATTCGTTGTATATTTAATCATAACTATTAAGTATAATACATGAATATGCACAGAAAAATATGACTCTTAATTACATACATAATATACATATATGAAATGTATACATTCGCGTTCCATTAATGGACATAAATTTACATTAAAGCATATATAAATATATGTATATATATATTAATTTAGTATTTTATTCTTATTTCATTTTATTTTTTTCATTTTAAAAGTCAAGGCCTCGGCCATTAAGACGAGTCGTATGAATATGAATTAATGATATAATCAAATTTATTAAACAGGCAAAAATTTCAGGGTTTCTTTATACGATATTATTAAATGAAATTATTCTTGAAATACCGTTTTTATGGCTCTTTTTGATAAATAAACAGTTCTTGTACATTATTTAAATTGAGTTAATATAATTTATGCTGCAGATTTATCCATTAATTGATTGTGTAAAATTTTATCATGAATAAATTATTTTACATTTTTGTATTATTCTTATTATATTATTATTATTTATCATTTTGCAATAACAGTTATGTCATATTCTGCAAATTCATTTATATAAATATGAATATAGTTTATTTCATATGAACACCAAGCTATTTATTTATTTATTTATTTTTTATTTTTTTGGAGTTCTTTTTCGATTTCTACATAATCAATGTACGTCTTATAAATTCTGCTGATCTATCCAATCATGAGCGAGTGCTAGATAAGCTGCCCTCTGTAAACAGTTTAGGATTGATTGAGACTTTTCGTATGCCCATCACGACTCAACTTTCTCGCTTGATTTATGGCAATCTGAGCCCGAATGTTTTTGTCTCTTGGCCCTACCTGCATATCCATGACGACCAGGGCGATTAGCCTGGCGCCAGACGTTCCACAACTGTGGGATATGGGCGATAAGGAAATTGATCTTGTACTGAATCCAGAATCCATTTAGAAGCAGAACGGATTGCCATGGTGTCGTTGGGCATAAACGACTATGTAATACGCGTTCAGAGTGTTAGGGTGGCTAGGTGAATGACATAATATAGGTCAAAAATAATGCACCTGGAACCACTAGAAGTAAAGCAAAGAAATTGTTTTCTTATATATTCGTATTGGTTCTTAAATTTTGCTTTTTGCAAGGCTTTTGCCACACCCCCGCTTGACCCATAGGTATACCATACATATATGTACATACATACATATGAATATTTTATTCTGTGTTTGTGTTAGCCAAGTAGCTAACATAGTTTATTCAATTAATTAGATTGCTTGTTTATATGCTTGCCAAAAGAATTATTATGCCTACCTCTGCTTCGTCTTCTTCTTCTACTTTTAATTATGGCAATACTTAGCGATTCGTCGTAACATCAGTATACGTACACACACACAGACACACATACATATGTATACTTATAGATGTATGTATGTATGTCGGATATGTTTGAATTTGTGCCGTTAATAAAGATACGATGGAATGTATTTATGTTTGTGACTATAGAGGCAGAGATACGATAGAAAAGCGAGTCTAGCTACCTACATACATACATACATACATACATACATATATTACCTCTAGTTTCGGCACACCCAACGATAAGACTACAATAATGCCTGTATGTATGAGAGACGGTATGTGTGTATGTATGTGTGCGCATAAGTATGGCCTATATTTGGAATATAACTTGTCCTATATGTGTATAACATGCATACATATGTATGTATAGATATATGTATATATGTAATTAGTTTCTATGTAATATAGTAGTTAGGAGAGATAATATATTTGAAATATGACACTTACATATTCGTATAACACCTTAGTCAGGCACTACGCATTCGCCTTTATATATATGTATACTTATGGAGTATTCTGCGTGTATAACACAATAGATGTATAGTACCTACGTGTATAACACCTTCCATTTTAATGTGTACATTCATATCTATGTGTATATGCACTATTTGTCGTTTAACCCTGCAATAGTATAACAGTTTGCAGATCTGTTGTATATAAAGCTTTCATATGTACTACAACTTCATTTATACGCTATGTTTATGCAGATTTTCTATATGTATCACATGTAATACATATGTATGTACATATACCGTATAACAGTTAATATATGCATATATATATTTTATGCATATGTACTAAAATACCTCAATATCCTAGATACATATATATATACTTAGTTTCTTATGCATAATATATATGTATGTATTTTTGTTCATACAATATTTACATACATACGCAAGTAAGATCTATGCAGTTATGTATGTACATATATATGTAGTATAACACCTTAAATGTAGACTAAGAGCATATACTTACATATGTATCTGCTATTCTTCGTATAGATATAGATATGAATTAATATATGCATAAGCTGAGTATATATGTATGTATGTATATATATATGTATGTATTTACATGTATGTATATGTACATATGTACATGTGCATGGTATATTCTGGGTATAACACCTTTTATATGTGTACAATATGCTCCTATGCAATATTCGGCATATACATAGATTCTATAAAGTATAAAAGTTGATATATACATATGTACATATATGCATACTTACATATGTATGTACATAAATAGACAAGAGCTCATCACTGTATGCCACTTTACATGTGCATCATACATACATACATACATACATCTGTATATCTCTTATATTATTAATTCCTTACGCATATGTACATACATATGTATGTATGCATGTATGTGTGTATGCAGGGGGCTCGATTGCCTCTGTGCTTGATAAGATGGAATGGTATGGGATTGGGATGAGACACTTTTTTCATTTTTTGCTCTTCGACAAGTGCGCACAGACACACACATGCACATCTGGGTGTGCGTGCGTGTGCGTGTGTGTGTGTGGGAGAGTGCGTATTTATTTTTGCACTTGAACAGTTTGTTGAACTTCGTCAGCCAGCTGAGAGATCTCGCTTGCATTGCTGCAGTTGCGTGCGAACCAATTAGCCCATTGCTGGCCATCCAAGCGAGAACGAACGAGGGGAACAAGCGAGGCCGAGCGAGAGACGAAAGCGAAAGACCCAAATCGAAACGCATGGAAAATGCTGGATTAAGTGCGAGCTCGGGCTAGATGTTTCTGTTCGCTTCGATTCGAATGCTTATCGCGCGCGTATGCTCAACATTTTTAAATGTTTTCAATGTTGTGTTGGCTGTGTGTTGCTGCTGCTGCTGCTGTTGTTCTGTCCGCTGACCTTGAGAACTGATAAAAAGTAGAAAACGTAACGCAAGATCCGACAACAGAAGCAACAGCAACAACAACAAGAGAAGCAGCAGGCAAACAAACAAGTCCCAAAAAAAAAAAAACCAAATGTATGCCGCTTAAGAAAACAAACACGCACACACACACACATACACACGCACACCTCGCTCATGACACGCATACACACACGTGCACACATTTACATACATGTAGCTATGCCTCTGTGCCTGTGTCTGTAGAACAAACTCGTTTTTATATGCGTCGTGAGTTTATTTTGTTTTGGTTTTCGTTTTTTATGTGTTTTTATTTTATTTTTTTTTATACCAAATATAGTCTGAAGTCTAAAAAATAAGTTTCGTAGCAAAATCTTAGCTTAAGCATTTTGAATGTTTCAAAAATATAGTTATAGATATATGTGTGTATATGTATACAAATTATATAAAATATATATACATATGTATATGTATATGTATATGTATACGTATGACTGTATGAAGAGTGTTCCGATGATTGGCACGTAAAATAAAAAAGATACGACAGGCAGTCGGCAAACACATTGTGAAATTCTTATAAACAACAAAGTCTTAGAAACAAAAACAAAAGCTTGAAAATAATCATAATCATAATCATAAGAGGTTTCGCACTCATCGCTGGCCCACTCGAGATTGTGCCCTCCATTGTCAGTGATGTGCTTCGATATGAATTGATGCGATTTGTTTTGGTTTTGGTTCTTTTTGTGTGTCTGGTGAGCGTGCTAAATGGGTGGTTGGGTGGTTGCTGGGATGGTGCTGCTGCTGTCAGTGACATTGCCAGTGTGTGGAGAAGAAGATATGCATGCATGGACAAATGGCCCTCAATCCTGATCGATGCCGCCCACATCCTTGCCAGCTGCCCTGCATTGCACACAGTAGCGATAGGACACCGGCTCCGGTGGCTTCTCGGCTGTCATGGACGCGTCGCCCTTCTGGCCGCCGCCGTTGCTGCTGCTGCCAAACGGCGCCGGCTTGCTGTCCACCGGACTGATGGGAAAGTGCTGCCAGTGCGGGCAAGGCATTTGCTTCGGTGGATGAATGGGGAACGGCATTCCGACTCTGCTCACACAAACACTGCACTTGCGAATTGAAAACCAACAAAAACAAAATAGAAAAAAAAACGCACACACAAACGTGCAAAAGATGTGCAGCGAGAGAATCAACGGGCAACAGGCAAAAAGACTTTGCTGGATGCAACTGTAAATTGCTGTGAGAGCTACCGCTGCATCGGACGCTCCGACTCGCTCGAAAACTCGCAATCAACTGTGCGGTTGCTAGAAGCGAAGCCGCGAACGTCAACGACCAAAACAAAAACACAAAGAAGTCGGCTTATGCCAGGCCGACAGCTGAATACTCTACAATATTTATGGCAATGAGTGCGTATTAAGTTGACACTTATTTATGTGATTTATTCAGACACTTTCATTTATTGTAATCATAAATTTTACAAAAAATATATATATCAGTGTTTAATTCTTTAACAAAGAAGAAAAACAATTTTTACAACAAAATATATTCATATACATATATATACAAAATTAATCAAAAATACATGCTAACCTTCTGAACTTGTTAAGTCTATTTTTGCCCTTATCAAAATACATATACATACAAATAATAATTATATAGAAGAGACGTAGCGTATGCTCAAGTCAGAGTTGTTCGCTTTGATTAGGGCAGCACAACAATAAAAATCAATAATCGCTGCGGCGCTGCGACCGGCAAAAAGTAACTCAGCTGGTCTGGCGGACTCGTCTAGCCAACAAAGAAGAAGAAGAAACAGAAGAAGCAGGAGCAGCAGGAGAACGAGCTGCAGCAATGCTCCGCACAAAGAGAACGCGCGAAGAGACACGCAGAGAGAGCGAGAGAGAAAGAGTGTAGAGAGAGGGAACAACAGTTAACGTTATGCTTTTGATGCGCTACAAAGTGCAGAGCCAGAGCTGTCTGTCTTTGTCTGCGCTCCGCGGGTGGAATGACTTTTGAATCTAAAGTCTCTCTACACCCTTCGTTCCGTTTCGTTTCGTTTCTTTTTATTTTGTGTCTTGGGCTGTGGTGGTGGGCGGCGACTAGCGGACGGGCGCGCTTCTTATACGTTTTATGGTTATGCTTTGTTCGACCAGCCATTCGCAGCCTTATGCTCTGCTGCGGACTTTGCCCGCTCGCATTGTAAGCTGTGGAGCTGGCGTTCCCGTTCCGTTCCGGGTTGCACCCGCCAACTGCGGGTCTGGGTGTGAAATGTTGTTAACCTCAGAGCGCTTTGTTCGCCTTAAGCTCAAGTACTACATACACTTTTTTTAATAGAGCTGCTCCAGTGTGAGTCATGCCTGCAAAGGAATCGTAGCGGGTCATATGCTGCCCGGCAGTAAATTACAATTCATTACAGAATCATGTGCCCATTTACACGCACAAGATTCGTAATTTAGTTCCGGTTCACTTTGGTTCACTTCATTATTGTTTCTTTGTTTGTTTATTTTATTTTTTGTATTTTCGATTTGAACATGAATAATTACGCACAATAAAAAAAAAAAACAAATGTGGTGTTTGACTTGCTGTTAGAGCTGAGCTTGAGTGACATTGAAACCAATACGCAGAGAACTAGAAGGTTCCACTCCAAAAAGAAACCACTAGAAATCTGAATTGAACTTGAAAGTTGAATATCAAGTTTCTTATTTTATAGTTTACATATTATTTACATATGTATGTGTGTGTACATAGTACATATTATATACATATGTATGTATATTATGTCTTTAGAAAATCTTTTATTTTATATATGTTATACATATATAGGGGATCAGAGTTTTCTTCAACCATCTAAACAAAAACTTTGGGCATCTGTCAAATTGTATGCTAAAAGAAGTTTTAATCTTAAAATTATTGCCAGTTGATAGTCTGATTTTCTAACGTATAATATATTAATTTTCTTTCATTTTGTTTATACGACTGAATGGTTTGAATGCTATAGAAAATTTGGAAGCATAATGGAGAGTGCCAAGGCTACGACTCTCGTAGTCCCAAATAATACTTAAGCCCCGTTTGTATGTTATTCATTAGGTTTTTATTAAACTTATGGGTTAGTCCAATACAATTATGTTTAAGCATTTATAATATCCTCGTGCACTGTGTCGCCTGTCCCCCACTAGGGACAGCTTCGCTCACATATTTCGTGCTTTTTTTTCTCTATCCATGCATTTACAATTTAATTAGACTCGCAATTATACATTTATTTTCACGTTCGATCTTAAAACTACTTTGATGTAACATAAAAAAAATATGTATGTACTATATATCGATCTATATAGATAATCATTTATTTATTTATTTGTGTGTGTGTGTGTTGTGTGTGTGTGTGTATCTGTCTAAAATGACTTCTCACAGCTGAAGAGCCGTTGCCGAAGTGCCGAAGATTACAAAAATTTAACATTTTCGATTTAATTTTGTATTTTGGTGTTTATTATTAAATTTGTTAATATTAATATCATTATCCTCGACATATCTTACGCTTAGAATTATACAAAAAAAAAAAAACCTTTACATCGATAAAAATTAAATTATTTTGCTTCTTGTATAATTGTATAAATATTTTGCTTAAACAATTGCCTACATTTTTTCATTATTTAATTTAATTTAATTTAATTATATTAATTTGCAATATATAAATATATGTATGTATATTTATATATATTCTCATATATATATATATATATATATTGATTTAAGATTCGTTTCGCTTGATGCTGATGTAAAGTAATATGCGTTACATTTATTTAAAGTAAGCTAGGTGCTATTACAATAGGTATTACTTGTATTACTTGTATTATATTTAGACTAAAGTATATATATAAACAATAACTTGACAATTATCTGATTTGTATGCAAATCTATATCTCATCCTAATGCCTTCATTTTGTCGCTAGGGAAATATATATACAAAACAAAGTCGATCCCAGAATGTGCCACTGAATGTTTCAAGAGTTGAGAGATTCAAAATGCAAGTTCATTAATGTGATGCAAGTACAATAAACTAGATGCAATAGATCTACTACTAGATACAGAGATATATAGATAAATAGAGAGAGAGTGAGAGAGAGAGAGTGTGCTAAAGAGATTTGTAGTTGGGAAGATATTGAGAATCGAATAAAAGCTAAAACAGTTTTCAAAGAAATCATAATTCGAACACCTGAGTTTATATATATATGTATATATATCGTCTATGTCTGTGTGAGTATATATATGTGTGTGTGTGTGTTTGTGTGTTTGAGTGTGCCTATATATCATTAAGATTATTATCAATCTGAAGCTTTTCAAAGGGTTTTCTGTACTCAGTTTGATTTGATTTGACTTGATCTACAGGGCGGCTGCCACATAAATAATAGCTACGTCGGGTCGCGTGTCTCCTCTCGTCTATATATATACACATATATATATGGAGTGGCATAAATATGTTACATATAGTTAAAGGCCGTCCACTGACGACTCGGCTAGGTAAGGATCCATTCATTGTTGTCATTGTGCAATCAAAATTAATCGTAATACACATTAAAAATTACTAAAAATTATTATATATATATATATAAAGGTATATATATATATAAAGGTAAGCTAACTAAAACTAAACAGACAAATAAAATTAAAAAAAAAAAAAATTAAATAAAATAAAATTCAACTATCAAAGAGAGAGTCGACTGATTTAAAAATAATAATAAAAAAAATTGACACGGCCAAGTAGCGACTGCGTTAGCTGCCTTATGAGGCGTTCGATGCGGGCAGCGTCGCTGCCGCCTTGCGATAGTAAATGTTGGCGCCCTTGATGGGCAGCGGATGCGCCTCGGTGTTGAACACCCACTCGTCCAGCGGCAGCACGGAGTCGTCTGAGAACAGCAAGTACAGGTACTATAGGGGGCAGAGGGGTAGAAGTTAAGTTAATTGGTTGGTAATTAATTCAACTGCATTTCAATTCAGTTAGCTGTCTACCTTGAGCGTTTCGGCTAGGAAGAAACTCTGCTGGACATCGTCCTTCTGCGGCTCCTGCTGGTATACGTTGCGCAGGCCGCAGTAGCCGTGCGGTGTGCGGCAATGCTTCTCCAGGGCCTGCACCGCCTGCCAGCCCCAGTCGCGGTACTTCTGATCGTGCGTCAGGCGCCAGAGCACAAAGTAGCTCTCGAAGGTCTCCGGGCGCAGTATATAGTACTTCTCCTGCGAGCGCAGCGCGCGTGCCTCGGCTGCTTCGCTGAAACTGAAGGGCAAAAGGGCAAAATGGGGAAGAGATTAATACGAGATTAACGTGAGCTGGTGTTGACCACTAACCGGAACGCCTCGGGGCCCAGCTGAGTGGGCGTACGTATATAGCTCTCGTGGCAGGTGTTGGTAATGCCCTTGCCCACCTCCATGTATTTATTTGTGTGAAGGTTGTGGCGCGTGGCAGCGCCCAGAGCAAAGAGGCCGCCTGCAATAAAATAGGATTACATACATTAATATATCCCATACAAATATATATATCATATATCTGAGATCCCAAATTACCTGAGAAGCAGGCCAGATGATCCATTTTATGCTCCAGTCGATCAAACTTCAGATCGGACACATACGTCAGCCCATTGGGGCTGACGCGCACCATTTTGTCAATGATCGCCAGCATCGCATCGTCGAACATTTCGCGTGCCTCCTCGTCCGTCTGGCCGGACTGCAGCCAGGCCTTCAGCAGATACTCGTAGTAGCTGTCACCCAAGGCGCCCAGCGACATGTGCTCTGCGCGTAGGCATCAAATGATGAATCGTTACTTCAATCTATGTATATATCTCAAGTTGATCTACTTACGCTGCCCCCATTTGCCTGTTTTGGGGTTGAGGAAGTTCGGATAGAGTCCCTTGGGCTTCTCGATCTCCTTGAGCACCTGGCGTATGGTCTGCACGCGCTCCCGATACAACGGATTGCCCGTGATGTCGCTCAGGTAGGCAAACTCCAGATGGAGTGTGCCGAACTCGGAGAGAATCGAGCTGCCACCGGATGCCCAGCCATAGTTCTTGGCCATGCCCGTCTTGGTGTTGACCAGGGCGTACGGTATGCCCGTGGGCGTTTGGAATGCGGGCAACAGCTTATCGGCCACATGCTGGGCCTTCTCCTTGTACATGGGATCCCCGGTGAAGGCGTACAGTGTCAGCATGCCGCCCACAAAGCGTATATTCGTCTCGAACACGGACAGCTCGGCGCTGATGTTGTCCAGCGAGAAGCGGCGCTCGATCCAGTCGCGCCCCTCCTTGTACTCCTTCTGCAGGCCCATTATGTACAGCGTGTCCAGGCCATCCACAATTGTGGCGCCCAGATCATACGAGCCAAATATGCTGCCCGAGTGCGGGCGCTGCGACAGTGGACGCAGCTCATTCTTGCCCCACGCGTACAGCTTGTAGTTGTGCCAGGCGTGCTCCATCATCTGCAATAGAGATGAAAGGGAAATATTTAGGGATTTATTTCATTTTTTTATTTTTAAGTGCACCTTATTATATCTTGATTTAAATTTTTTATTGAATATATAAATAATCTATATATGTATATAATAAAAAAATATAATATATTTTAAAGTGTGTAATATTTAAATATTTATCAATAAGTTACTTATTTAAATTTTTTACTTTTTATATTCTCAGTTTTATTTCTTTATTTTTTGTTTAATTTTGTATACTCATATTACGTATTTTCATTATCATTTCATTAATTAAATTCATTTTTTTTTTTTTTTTTTTTTTTTTTTTTTTTTTTTCGTTTTTTTTTTTTTTTTTTTTTTTTTTTTTTTTTTTTTTTAGTCGTTCTTTTTTTA